CACAAACACTGGCCAAAGTTAGCGTTAATATGTGTGTGAAAAAGGCAAAAAAAAAATTTGAATGCCAATTAAGGCCAGTGTTGGTGACTAAGTGGTTATTAAAAAAAGACTGGACATACCCCATTTGCAATACCTTGGGTTGTCTACTTTTTCAAATGGTATGCCATCAGGGGGCTAATTCTGATTCCTACCATATAGTCTCAAATGCAACGTAACCAATCTGAAGAATTTCAAGGTAAAAAAACTGAAACACAAGCCTTATATTTGACTCTGTAACTTTTGAAAACACCATAAAACCTGTACGTGAGGAGTACTGTTATACCCGGGAGACTTCGCTGAAGACAAATATTAGTGTTTCAAAACTGTAAAAAGTATCACAACAATTATATCATCTGTGTAAGTGCCGTTTGTGTGTGAAAAAATGCAAAAAAGATCACTTTTACTGATGATATCATCCTTGTAATACATTTTACTCTTTTGAAACACTAATATTTGTGTTCAGTGAAATCTCCCGAGTAAAACAGTACCCATCATGTACAGGTTTTATGGTGTTTTCAAAAGTTACAGAGTCAAATATAAGGCTTGTGTTTCAGTTTTTTTACCTTGAAATTTGCCAGATTGGTGTCTGGTTTATCAGGCAAGTCCTGCAAATTGTAATTAATAAAATGACCTAATGTAAAATGACACAGAGCACTGTGATTGGATGGCTTGAAATCCATCCAATCACAGTGCTCTGTGTTATTTTACACAGCGTGGGAAAATTCCAAAGAACTTTCCCACGCTGTGTAAAATGACAAAGAGCACTCTGATTGGCTTAAACCCACCAGAGTGTTCTTAGCCTAATTGCAGGGCGGGGCAAGGCTTTATAAGCCTTCCCCCGCCCTGCGGAGCTCAGTCTGCGCGGAGCCCTCCATGGGTGAAGATGGATTATTTTTTTGCGCTCAGGTTTTTTCTTTTTCGACGGGTTTTTTTTTTTGCGTTCAGGATTTTTTTTTTAGTTCGACGGTTATGATGTTTTTTTATTTGGCCTTTTTTGGGGCTGAAAAATGAAGATTTGAGAAAAAAGAAGACGTTGAATGGTAAGTTTAATTTTATTTTACAGGTTAGTTATTTTATTCCCCCCTCACTATTTTTTAGGGTGAGTGGGGTAGGTAGGGACTTTTTATTTGGGTGGGTGGGTGACAAGGGGCTTGGGGACCCCTAGTCACCTTGGGGGGGAGAATTTACTTAAGGCCCCCACCCGCAGCCCAGGGGTGGGGGCCGGAGGGGGGGTGGACAGTAGGTCCCCCCCCTCATTATCAATATGGCCCCCACCCGCCGCGCAGGGGTGGGGGCCGGGGGGGGCAGTAGGTCCCCCCTCATTATCAATATGGCCCCCACCCGCCGCGCAGGGGTGGGGGTCGGGGGGGCAGTAGGTCTTCCTCCTCATTATCAATATGGCCCCCACCCGCCATGCAAGGGTGGGGGCTGGGGGGGCAGTAGGTCCCCCCCTCATTATCAATATTGCCCCCACCCGCCACGCAGGGGTGGGGGCAGGACAATAGGTCCCCCCCTTATTGTTCATTTTAGGGCCCCCACCCACTGCTCAGGGGTGGGGGCTGGGGGGGGACAATAGGTCCCCCCTTATAATTCATTTTATGGCCCCCACCCACCGCTCAGGGGTGGGGGCTGGGGGGGACAATAGGTCCCCCCCTTATTGTTATTTTTAGGGCCCCCACCCACTGCTCAGGGGTGGGGGCCGGGGGGAGGACAATAGCCCCCCCTATTAGTATTTAGGGCCCCCACTGGGCTGCTCACTGTTTAATAGACATGACCCTACTCGCGGTATTGCGAGTAGGGGCACAATTTACTAATACTAAGTAATTTTTACTTAGTATTAGTAAATTAATAGGGGGCGGACCGAACATCGCATATGTTCGCCGTCCGTGGCGAACGCGCTATGTTCGCCGGGAATTATTCGCCAGCGAACCGTTCGGGACATCACTACCCACCACCGAAATAATTGTCTCTCCCTGTCAGCCCGGTCTGGAACTCACGTGGGTTCGGCCGGCGTCGGTTACTTGCGTCAGTGACGTCATCTCTCGACGCTGGCGTCATGACGTCATCACGAGAGCGTCCAGCCGATGGCATCATGGGGAGGTTGTTGCTATGAAGTGAAGCTTCGAGCAACCTATGTTAAATGCAAACACAAAAAGAGACTGGGAAGCAAAGAAGCTATAGCTCCATTTTAGCAAGTACAGTGATAAAGAATAATTATCTATTGTAAAGGCCCAACATTAATACATAAAGGGCATCTTAGTCATACATATTGTAGGAAAGCCACCTAAAGACTACATAATAAAAACTAAATAAAAAGACTAGAAAACAGACTGAATACCTAGATGTCAGGCTATAACTACAGGAGCAGTATGCATAATGGTAGGGGATTAACAGTATATATACTTATTGTAGAATGAACCAAACAGAAAACAAAACGAAACACAACAACCTAGCTGCATATTTAAAGGTCATTATAAGCAAACCCTTTTTTTTGCCATTATACTGGAAATACCACTTAATGTTTGGGAAAATAACGTCTAGTCTATCATAAGATTACATATCATCATGAAAAAAAAAACCTGTTACTATCACCAACAAAAAAATATATACACAGCAGACAACTGGTACACATACCAAGTGTGGCTTAATACCATCATCTATAAGGCATAATGGGTATGTGCCTTTCCCTCCTGGTGGGCATCATTACCCCCGCTTCATGTCATCCGGTCCCCAAAGTGTACCCCACAATGTTACCTATACCTTAACAACAACTAAACCATAACAGCATATAAAGGTCCTTAACCATAATGTCTGGTGCCAATAATAGGTGTGTAGGTTAATAAGATCATTCCAAAATGTAGGAAATAATCATATGGGGGATAGAACATCACAAATGGTATGGATCAGGTGATACCACCCCAACAGGTGGACACCCATCTCATAATACCATGTGACCAATGTTAATCTCCCACTGCGAACCAACAACTGCCCATTACCCCCAAAAAAGGGGGGTAACCATCATGCAACAGAATAATGGAAAAAGTTGCTTACCCCAAGGGCGGGCCACATTCTCCTGCCCCAGTATGCATGAGGTTATGTGCAACCAATCCATAGAATCATAAAAAGGCAGATAATGAGTATTTTTCATTTAATCCATCTGGATAGACAGTTTGTAATGTTCTAATCCAAAATAATTCCCATTGGAGGAGCATCCTTTTGCGATCTCCACCTCTTCTAGGCAAGGGGACATGATCAATAGCCATCAATTTCATAGAAGGCAAAGTGTGTCCAAATTCTAGGAAGTGCTTGGCTACAGGTAACTCAGACTTATTGTCCCTATAGGCAGTTCTAATGCTAGATTTGTGGTTGCGAATTTGTTCTCTCAATGGTAGATCCGTTTTTCCAATATAAGTTATACCGCAGGGACACGTTAGCTTGTAGATCACGAAGTCACTTGTGCAGGTTAGTTGATGTCGTATACGAAAACTGCTGCCCGTGTGGGGATGTGTAAATGTTTTCCCAGGGATCATATGTCCACAGGTAACGCATCCTAGACAGCGGTAACATCCCAAATTCTGTGGAGTAATATCCTTAGAATAACAGTGAAACGGGTCAGTGTTTACTAGCAGATCTCTTAAATTTTTATTTCTTTTGTAACAAAACATAGGAGGATCCCGAAATACTGGAGGTAATGTGACATCATTTCTTAAGACTCTCCAATTGCCCTCAATAATTTGTTTAAATTTAGAGGATGCTGTAGTAAATGTTGTAGGAAATACCAATCTGTTGGTTGGTGTTTTTGAAGTGGGAGTGCCAGCTGTCTCAAGGCATTTATTGAGGGCTTTTAGTAAAATATGACTAGTATACCCCTGTTGTCGGAATTTGTCCCACATCATGCCTAGTTGTTCTTGTGCTCTATTGGAATCAGAGTTGTTCCTCAATACTCGCAAGAATTGTGAGTAGTGTAAAGAGTTTTTCAGTGGATTCGGGTGAAAGCTATATATAAATTAATTATTTATTTTTATTATTTTCTATTTTTAACGCATATATATATATTGGATTAAATATCATTCTATGTGTATTTTGATATTAATATATATATATATATATATATATATATACACACACACACACACACATATATACACATTATATATATAGTATATATAGCATATATATATATATATATATATATATATATATATAGTTATATATATTGGTTATATAAGGTTGGTTGGTTGGTTGTTGGTTGGTTATATATGATCTAAGTATATATTATTTAATTTTAAACAGTTTTTAACTTTTTTTTTTTTTAACTTTATTTTAGGCAGCAGGGGGAACTACCCGTCATTCCAGTCACTCCCCCTTCTGGCACTGCTATTCCATCCATGTGATCGCGAGGTCCTCACAAGGACCTCGAGATCACATAGCCCATGAGGGCCGGATCAGACGCAGAGGGACTCCATGGGATGCCAGGCAAGTCCCCCCATCACGATCACGGGCGGGGGATCGCCAGCAAGCAGATAAGTCCGCCTTCCTTAAGGGGTTAATTTAGAAGTTATGCACGGCAACTTAAAGGTGTACCCAAACAGATGCCTGAAATATTTTGTAACAGGGTTCTAATAACTGAAAATATTGTCAGTAAAATTACTACTTGAATACCACATATTAAGACACCTATACACTCTTCATCCTCAACATTAAAACCAAATACATATTAAAAAAAAAAAAAAAAAAAAAAAAAAGAGTGCACATTTCCCTTATTAAGTACAAGTACTTTAAAATCACCTATCTCAGCAAATAAATATGGGAATTTAGTTACACCGTATGGCTAGATCATGTTAAGACCACCATTACGTCATAGTATCCCAATTTAATGGGTCTTATTCTAATTTTAACATGGAAGACAAATCATATAGCAGTAGTGCTAAAAACCACAGTGTATTTATTTAACATAGAAAACAGGGATACCTTCAAAGGTGATGTGTTCAGGAGCAAATTCACTTAATATATGACTTCGTTGGTGTGATAGGATAAAATATTTAAAATGCTGGATGGTAACTATGCCAGAATGTATGGTGTGTATACCTTTAAATCTGCTATAGGCAGAATCTGTTTGGTACACACCGAATGATCTGCTTAATACAAAGTTATTGCTGAATACAAAATAACCATATAAGACCTGGTTACCTGTTATGTGTAAAATTCACACACTGTTTAAAATAGTGTGTATATTGCTTTAAGTAGTCCGTTGGGAAACTAGACAGTGCAAAGAACAGTATTATATTTTAACAAGGAGACATAAAAAACTCCATATTAACTGTATTAGTTATAATCACTTGAGAATTAGGCAAAAAACTACAAGTGAAAGTAAAAAACCACTATTAACAGAATGTATTTAAAAAATAATGTAGAAATTTATTCATCATATAAAAAACATAAAAGAATAGTCCAAATTTGGAATAAAAATATAAATACAAAAAATGGGAGCCAGGAACGATTAGCAAGTCTTTAGCCACTGCAGATCTCGCACAAATAGCTTCATCCACACTGTAACTGTTAAGGATTACAGTGGATACTATTGTATCAAAATGAAGAGAAATTACTTGCCGGCTGCTGGGGAGGTTGGCGTGCGTGCCAAACCTCACTCTGGTTCTCGGATGCTCGGCAGTCCGTCTGTCCCCAGGTCTTAGATGCCGTATGGGGGAAGGAAAGAGATGCTGCTGCTGGCGTCTGGCTGCTCCGTCGTATCCTGCTCACTAACACTGCTGGTCTAAAGCGTTTCGTGGGTGTCAGCCCCACTTCTTCAGAGACATGCTGCAGCTGGATTTGGATGTCTGTCTTATATACAGAGCTGATGGGCTGCGTGTATTATTGGTTAACTAAACATGTAAATCTCATTTTATATACATAGAGTGGTTATAAAAACAAATTGTAAATTAGGAACAAATTGTAAATTGAAAATACAATAAAATAATATAATAGAGTAAAATACAGTGGTTTGATACTTATTAAAATGATACATACACAAATACAGTATTGTATGTGCAAATTAGAATTACTATATCATAATTAATTAGAAGTTAGTAAGCTTATTGGCAGTTATAGAATTGATTATAATAAAAAGTAATAAAAAAAATAAAAAATAAATAAATCCAAAATGAAATGGATATGTGCTTAGAAAACGATCTGTGGGAAAATGGATATATTATAAAAAGGTCATGGAGAATTTGAAGTAGAGGCTGTGCCCCAAGTTACATTACAAACCCAAATGGTATCATAAGTGATTAATAAAATGTTAGAGGATCATAAAAGCATTAGAATAGAAACTGTGCACAAAGTCATTTTATAAATGTAAATGATATCGGTAGTGATTAGTGCATACTAAGAAGAATAGATTCAAATAGAAGCTATACCTGAACTTATATTGCCAATGCAAGTAGTGTCAGTATCCCAGTGAAATAACCAGATTGGGATTTTACAGTTTCATTATCATAATGAAATATCTGATTAGAATTATAGAGAGAATATGTGAAAAAAGAGAAAAATGTGAATGCAGTAATATTATACTACATATATAGTGTCTCTACTGAGGTAGATAATGGTTGGATAAAATATCCTAAAATGTGAATTGCGACTATATACTGAGTAGAAGAACTTAGTGCAAGGAATTAAAAAGTGATGGATAATATTACTCAATATAAAGTGCGCAGTGTGAAAATGTGCTTGTGTATGTATAAAAAACTGGGTTATGAAAAAAAAAAAAAAAGGTAAACTTTATAAGAATGCATTGAGTTCAAAATCCAAATTAAGACCCTTAGGGGCCAAAGTCTCTAGGTGGAATATCCACCTAGCTTCTGTTTGGTCCAGATTCTTATCTATATTGCCCCCTCTCCAATTGACATCTACCTTTTCAATCGGTAGGAATCTTAGTCCTGTGGGGTCTCCTCCGTGAAAGTCTTGGAAATGTCTTGACAAATTATGGGTTTGGAGACCTTTCTAATGTTCCTTATGTGTTCCGCCATCCTCGTCTTCAATGCCCTTTTTGTACGTCCTACATACTGTTTAGAACATGGACATGTGATGAGATAGATAACTCCTTTTGAATCACAATTCATGTTGATCTTAATATCATATTCCTTCGTGCCATCCATAGATGTGAATTTAGTCATTTCAAAATCCAGAGAAGGATTATTAGTACACGCAACACATTTTTTACACCGCTTGAAACTTTTTGTGGCCATCGTGTCTTGTTGGATCTTGCATTGCTTGAGAGTTGGAGCCAAAAGTAATTGTAGATTGGGTGCTTTGGTAAAGATGATACGTGGTTGGTTCTCCAGAATACCTATCAAGGAAGGGTCACTCATGAGGATATTCCAATGTTTCTTTAAGATTTTCTCTATAATGCGGGACTGGTGGTTATATTGGGTTATAAAAGCTGGTATGGGTTGATTCATCTCAATAGTTTCAACTTTATTTTTAAGGGTATCTTGTCTTGGAATAGTTAAAGCTCTAGTTTTAGCCTCAGTAAGTAATGTTAGGGGATAGCCTTTGTTGATAAATCTTTGCTGCATCTCCTCCATTTGTTCACCGCATACTTGTATGTTTGAGCAGTTCCTTCTAATCCACCTAAATTGGCTATACGGGATGTTTCTGAGCCAAGTATTCTTGTGGTGGCTATTAAAAGGAATAAAACTGTTGCAGTCTACTGATTTTTTAAAAGTTTTGGTTTGTATCTGGTTGCCTTCTATATAAATGTTTAAATCTAAGAACTCAATTTGATCACGTGACTGATTAAAAGTAAACTTTAGATTGTAGGGGTTGTTGTTGAGGTAGGTCTTGAACAGTTCAAGGGAGTTTTCATCTCCCTTCCAGATAAAAAAGCAGTCATCTATGTATCTTCGCCATAGGGACAGGTTTGCGCCAAAAGGGCAATGTTCCCATATGAATTCTTCCTCCCATTTGCCCATGAATAGGTTCGCATAGCTTGGCGCAAAACGAGTCCCCATGGCGGTCCCCTCAATCTGTAAATAAAATTGGTCATTGCACCAAAAATAATTATGAGTGAGTATAAAAGCAATGCATTGTATTAAGAAGTCGATTTGGTCATTCTTTAGTTCTGAATAGGTTGCCAGTGAATATTGTATTGCCTCGCATCCTTGCAAGTGCTCTATCACTGTATAAAGTGAGGTGACGTCTGCTGTGACTAAAATCATGTCCTTGGACCAGTTAAAATCAGATAAAAGGTTTAATAGTTGTGTAGAGTCTCTCAGGTAGGATTTGAGACGTGGTACCAGATTTTGTAGGTACTGATCGACGTATTCGGAGAGGTTAGCCGTGAGGGATCCAATTCCCGAGATAATAGGTCTGCCTGGGGGTTTAGTCAATCTTTTGTGAATCTTTGGTAGATGATAAAAAACGGGTATTCTTGGAAACTTGTTGTAAAGATATTTAAATTCTCTTTCATTGATAATCCCTCTGGTTCTACCTTGGTCGAGTATCTCTTCTAATTTGCCCTTGAAATGGGAGGTAGGGTCTTGTTTAAGTTTCAAATAGGTGCTTGTGTCTTCCAATAATCTAGTGTTCTCTTCTGTGTAGTCAGTCGTATTGAGAATGACCAAACCACCTCCTTTGTCTGCCGCTTTTATGATTATGTCCTCTGAATTCATCAGCTGCTTCAGAGATTGCCTCTCCCTTTTAGTTAGATTATCTTTCTCTATCTTGTTTTTAATCCTTCCTCTAAAATCTTTTTCTACCATTTTTTCAAATACTTTCATGGAATCAGTCTTTACAAATTGTGGGTAAAAAGTAGAGGTGGGATGTAGATTGGTTTGTGTGTACTCCTGTATTGGGGTGGGTGGCATCTTGTCCTTACCATGAAAGAATTTCTTGATTGAGACTTTTCTCATGAATTTATGTAAATCTATACATGCATTAAAATTGGAGCTTTTAGACGTCGGTGCAAATTTTAGACCCTTTTTTAGGAGTGAGGTTTCTTCCAAATTGAGTATTCTTGTTGATAGATTAAATATGTTCATTTCCTCCTTTTCAGCTGGGTAACTTCTTCCTGTTGTTCTGGATCTTCTTCTGTTTCTCTTATGGATCTTTTCTTTCTCAACTCCGGGGACCTGAAATCTTCCATTGCAAATCTTTTGGGGGGAATCCTTCCCCGCTTGTCTAAAAAATCGTTCTCTGTATGTGTAGTTGGTTGACTTTTGGTTTCTCTTGGAACTACGTTATTGGAATCCGATCTTATTTGGTCAAATGTTGGAGTTTCTGCAGTTGGAGTATATTGGTGTCCATGTCCCTGTGTATGCCAATCTCTCCTTTGGTATCTCATATATTGTCGGTTTACTAGATCTGTGTGTCCTCTTTTTGTATATTGGGATGGACGGTATCCTCTATGGTCCTGGGATGGACGGTATCCTCTATGGTGCTGTCCTCTATAGTGTGTTGGTCGATATTGCATCCACTTTTTGGTGGGACTTTGATTAGGGGTTCTTTGAGAGATATCTGTATCTCTAAATGTTACCTGTCGTTGGTATCTTAATTCGGTTCCATATCTTTGTGGGGGTTGATATTTTAATGTTTGATCCTTCTTCCAGTTCCTTTGTGTTTGTGTTTTATAGTCGGCCTGATCTCTCATAATCTTCTTTCTTTTATTTTCTCTTATATTCATCTCAATATCCTTAACTCTTCTTTCTATCGTATCTAGAAGTTCCACATAATCCCCATTCTCCACTAGGGGGCGGATAGTGCTTTTCAATTGTGTAATTTCTTGATCCAGTTGAGTAAGATCTTTCTTTTTCTCATTGATGAGGAATACCATTAATAAAAGAGATCCTTTATCTAGAAGTTGGTCCCACTTCTTAAGTAATGTTGGATCATGGCGTTTATAGGTTGATCTTTTGAAGAGTCTTAATCCTCGTGGTACAATGTTGTTGTTAACATAAAAATCAAGGGTGGCTATATCCCACCAAATTTGTACCTCTCTCTCCATTAATTTTCCTAGTTGGTGGATAAAAGATCTAATATCTTTCCGTTGATCCTTAGGTGGCAGAGCAGGTTCATTTTGACATTTCCAAGACTTTCACGGAGGAGACCCCACAGGACTAAGATTCCTACCGATTGAAAAGGTAGATGTCAATTGGAGAGGGGGCAATATAGATAAGAATCTGGACCAAACAGAAGCTAGGTGGATATTCCACCTAGAGACTTTGGCCCCTAAGGGTCTTAATTTGGATTTTGAACTCAATGCATTCTTATAAAGTTTACCTTTTTTTTTTTTTTTCATAACCCAGTTTTTTATACATACACAAGCACATTTTCACACTGCGCACTTTATATTGAGTAATATTATCCATCACTTTTTAATTCCTTGCACTAAGCTCTTCTACTCAGTATATAGTCGCAATTCACATTTTAGGATATTTTATCCAACCATTATCTACCTCAGTAGAGACACTATATATGTAGTATAATATTACTGCATTCACATTTTTCTCTTT